GCCACGCAGCTTTTTGCCCGGCGGCGGCGAGTCTCGAAGCCTGCTTGGCATGTGAGGCAGGCAGCTACTCCCATGGTGTCTGTGTAGGTGCCGATCCCACAGGCCACGCAGTCCTGTGACCCAGGGAATGGGGGGACGGTGCCTGCTTCACAAGCAGAGCAGCCAACGGCATACACCGGGTCTTTGGTGCACATTACGACTGCTGAAACAGAAGCCATCACTTCTCTGGTCTCGCCGAGAAAAGTGCTGGTCCAATAGTCCTCGTCATAGAACACGTCAGTCTCCAAATGCTGCCAGAAGTCAAACCTGTCAAGTGGAACTGCATAGTTTCCACCGAAATAGCCCAGTTGAGTCGACATGCCCCGCTCTGCCCTGCGTGCAATGACCTTCACCGGGTTGGCAACTTTGCAGAGTTTCGAGCTCCATCCGAGCCCCATACCGTTGATCCCTTTTTCACGCCCTAGTCCTGTCAGCAGTTCTTGGTATTTTGGCTTGTCATCATAGTGCTGGGCACCTGTCCCAAACCACCCAGGGCCCTTGGCCCTGGAGTAATACCCAGTGCTCGAGGCTGTCTTCCAACACTTTCCCCACCAACAATCCCACCTGTATTTTTTTTGGTGCTGCCCCCAGCTCAACATGCCCGACCAGGGCTCTGAGTAGACGGTTGACCACCTGCACTCCGTAAGCTCTACGCCGCAGATTTGGTGGCAATGGAGGTACACTCGCCCCTGTGTCATTTTCAAGGATGTTGCCACGTACCCATCAGGGCATTCAACATGACATGACCCAATTCGATCCGCCGCGTGCCACTCACTGCAAAGGGTGTGCAACACTACTTTCTTCGTGTCTTGCTTGATGGTGACTCCAGCACCGTCGCCGGTGAAATCGCAAATGGAATTCTCGTCGCAAGAAGACGAAGGCCATTTGCACTCCTTGAACCGATCCCGGCTCTTTACGAAAGGCACAAATAATCCCCCTTGGTCTGATCGAGGTCTGCCGTTAGATGCCTCGCCTGGCCACCAAGTAAGATTTGCCAAAGTTGCTTCGCTTGCTTCTGCCAAGGTGGCTTCACCCTCATCTGCGGCTACCTCCACTGCCTGCGCTTCCTTCTTCTCCTCGCGTTCCTCGATGAGGGACAAGTTGGAACTCGTGCGTTGCCTTGCCCGGGCCCGCTGGAAGGTCAGGGCCCGTGGCTCCACCTGAGGCGTGCAAGCCTCGGCGAGCTGGCAGCGCCCGTCTGCCCACACGCTGTAAAACTTGCACTTCGGGATCTCTCCACCTGCGGTCTGCAAAACTGCTACTTGTAAGATGTAGAGCGCCCTGTTATCACACATGCTATAGAAGACAGGACTGCAAAGACGGCTTGGCTGCTGCACAGCGACACCGCTGCTGGCACTTGGCATCCGTGGCATCGAAGAAGACGTCACTGCAAGAACTGCCGCCAAGGTAGAACACGAACTCATGCTCCAGCGTCTGAGCCACAAAGGTCTGCTCTGCAGTCAGGACCATCTTCTCCCTTGTGGTTGCCTGCCATCGTGAAATCCGCAAGTGCTACAAGCTGCTGACATCTGCTGACATGTTACTCCGCCTCGGTGGTCAAGCCAATGCAGGCGCTGGTATCTTCACAGCTGGCTGTGCTGGCTGTGGTGCGGCGGAGAGTGACGAACTGACCAGTCTCCGCGTGCCAAAGACCCATGTGCCCATCATCACCTAGGATTTGTACAGGGAACAAGCCCCAGAGCCAAACTGGGAATCCTGTCACTACAACAATCCCTGCAGGTTGAATGAAGCTGAGCAGCTGCCGAAAGCCTTGAAAGCAGCTGTGCGATTCGTGTGGGATACATGCTCCCAATTCATCTTGTCCGAAAGCTGCAGGCCCTTGCTAGTGATCTGCAGGAACCTCTGGCTCTGCAAGTTGTAGAGAGCAACTTCCTCCTTCCCAGCTGCAACGACAAAGAAGGAAACGGAGTCCTCGAGCCCTGCCCATTCCAGCTGATCGCGCATCTCGGAGCCACGCAAGGACGAGCCGGAGGCCATCAGGAACCGGCCTGCCTTCTTGTTCCAAAAGGATACGGAAGTCCCCACCTGCGCAAGGAAACGGCTTCCTGGGTGCTGGAGTCCCAAAGCTC